TGAATCCCAGGGATGAAGCTGACTTGATCATGGTGGATAAGCTTTTTGATGTGCTGCTGAATTTGGTTTGCCAGTATTTTATTGTGGATTTTCACATTGATGTTCATCAGGGATATTGGCCTGAAATTTTCATTTTTTGTTGTGTCTCTGCCAGGTTTTGGTATCAGGATGATGCTGGCCTCATAAAATGAGTTAGGGAGGAGTTCCTTTTTTCTGTTGTTTGGAATAGTTTCAGAAGGAATGGTACCAGCTTCTCTTTGTACCTCTGGTAGAATTCGACTGTGAATCTGTCTGGTCCTGAGCTTTTCTTGGTTGGTAGGCTATTCATTACTGCCTCAATTTCAGACTTGTTATTGGCCCATTCAGGTATTCGACTTCTTCCTGGTTGAGTCTTGAGAAGCATGTATGTGTCCAGAAATTTATCCATTACTTATAGATTTTCTAGTTTATTTTATAGAGGTGTTTATTGTTTTCTCTGATGGCAATTTGTATTTCTGTGGGATCAGTGGTGAAATCTTCTATATCATTTTTTATTGTATCTATTTGATTCTTCTCTCTTTTCTTCTTTATTAGTCTGGCTAGTGGTCTATGTATTTTGTTAATCTTTTCAAAAAACAGCTCCTGGATTCATTGATTTTTTTTGAAGGGTTTTTTTTGTGTCTCTGTCTCCTTCAGTTCTGCTCTGATCTTAGTTATTTCTTGTCTTCTGCTAGCTTTTGAATTTGTTTGCTCTTGCTTCTCTAGTTCTTTTAAATGTGATGTTAGGGTGTTGATTTTAGATTTCTCCCACTTTCTCCTGTGGGCATTTAGTCCTATAAATTTCCCTCTAAACATTGCTTTAGCTGTGTCCCAGAGATTCTGGTATGTTGTGTCTTTGTTCTCATTGGTTTCAAATAACTTATTTATTTCTGCCTTAATTTTGTCATTTACCCAGTAGTCATTCAGGAGTGTGTTGTTCATTTTCCACATAGTTGTGCAGTTTTGAGTTAGTTTCTTAATCTTGAGTTCTAATTTGATTGCACTGTGGTCTGAGAGACTGTTAGGATTTCTGTTCTTTTGCATTTGCTGAGGAGAGTTTCAATTACAGTTATATGGTTAATTTTTGAATAAGTGTGATGTGGTGCTAAGAAAAGATGTATATTCTGTTGATTTGGGGTGGAGAGTTCTGTAGATGTCTATTAGGTCTAATTGGTCCACAGCTGAGTTCAAGTCCTGAATATCCTTGTTAATTTTCTGTCTCATTGATCTGTCTAATATTGACAATGGGGTGTTAAGGTCTCCCACTATTTTTATATGGGAGTCTAAGTCTTTTTGAAGGTCTCTGAGAACTTGCTTTACAAATCTGGGTGCTCCTGTATTGGATGCATACATATTTAGGATAGTTAACTCTTCTTGTTGCATTGATCTATTTACCATTATGTAATGCCCTTCTTTGTCTTTTTTGATCTTTGTTTGTTGGTTTAAATTCTGTTTTATCATAGACTAGGATTGCAAGCCCTGCTTTTTTTTTTTTTTTTTTTTTGCTTTCCATTTGCTTGGTAAATATTTCTCCATCCCTTTATTTTGAGCCTGTAGTGTCTTTGCATGTGAGATGGGTCTCCTGAATACAGCATACTGATGGGTCTTGACTCTTTATCCAATTTGCCATTCTGTGTCTTTTAATTGGGGCATTTAGGCCATTTACATTTAAGGTTAATATTGTTATTTGTGAATTTGATCCTGTCATTATGATGCTAGCTAGTTATTTTGCCCATTAGTTGATGCAGTTTCTTCAAAGTGTCAATGGTCTTTACAATTTGGTATATTTTTGCAGTGGTTGGTACTGGTTTTTCCTTTCTGTATTTAGTGCTTCCTTAAGGAGCTCTTTTAAGGCAGATCTGGTGGTGACAAAATCTTTCAGTATTTGCTTGTCTGTAAAGGATTTTATTTCTCCTTCAATTATGAAGCTTAGTTTGGCTGGATATAAAATCCTGGGTTGAAAATTCTTTTCTTTAAGATTGAATATTGGTCCTCACTTTCTTATGGCTTACAGGGTTTCTGCAGAGAGATCCACTGTGAGTCCGATGGGCTTCCCTTTGTGAGTAACCCGACCTTTCTCTCTGGCTTTCCTTAACATTTTTCCTTCATTTTGACCTTGGTAAATTTAACAATAATGTGTCTTAGGTTGCTCTTCTTGAGGAGTATCTTTGTGGTGTTCTCTGTATTTCCTGAATTTTAATGTTGGCCTGTCTTCCTGGGTTGGGGAATTTATCCTGGATAATATCCTGAAGAGTGTTTTCCAACTTGGTTCCATTCTACTTGTCACTTTTGGGTACACCAGTCAAACGTAGGTTTGGTCTTTTCTCATATTTCTTGGAGGCTTTGTTCATTCTTTTTCATTCTTTTGTCTCATCTTGTCTTCACACTTTATTTCATTAAGTTGATCTTCGATATCTCATATCCTTTCTTCCACTTGATTAGTTTGGCTATTGATACTTGTGTATGCCTCATGAAGTTCTTGTGCTGTGTTTTTCAGTTCCATCAGACCATTTATGTTCTTTTCTAAACTGGTAATTCTAGTTAGCAATTCCTCTAACCTTTTGTCAAGGTTCTTAGCTTTCTTGCATTGGGTTAGAACATGCTCCTTTAGCTCAGAGGAGTTTGTTATAACCCCCCTTCTGAAGCCTACTTCTGTCAATTTGTCAGACTCATTCTCTATCCAGTTTTATTCTCTTGCTGGCGGGGAGTTATGATCCTTTGGAGGAGAAGAGGCATTCTGATGTTTGGAATTTGCAGCTCTTTTGTGCTGGTTTTTCCTTATTTTCATGGATTTATCTACTTTTTGTCTTTGATATTGGTGACCTTTGTATGGGGTTTCTTTGTGGATGTACTTTTTGTTGATGTTGATGCTATTTTTTTCTGTTTGTTAATTTTCCTTCTAACAGTCAGGCCCCTCTGCTGCAGGTCTACTGGAGTTTGCTTGAGGTCCACTCCAGACCCTGTTTGCCTGGGTATCACCAGTGAGGGCTGCAGAACAGCAAAGATAGTTCCTGTTCCTTCCTCTGAAGGTTCAGCCCAGAGGGGCACCCACCAGATGCCATCTGGAGCTCTCCTGTATGAGGTGTCTGTCGACTTCTGCTGGGAGGTGTCTCTCCATCAGGAGGCACATGGGTCAGGGACCCACTTGAGGAGGCAGTCTGTCACTTAGCAGAGCTTGAGCACTGTGCTGGGAGATCTGCTGCTCTCTTTAGAGCTGGCAGACAGGAATGTTTAAGTCTGCTGAAGCTGTGCCCACAGCTGCCCCTTCCTCCAGGTGCTCTGTCCCAGGGAGATGAGCGTTTTATCTATAAAACCTTGACTGAAGTTACTGACTTTCTTTCAGAGATGCCCTGCTCAGAGAGGAGGAATCTAGAGAGACAGTCTGTCTACAGTGGCTTTGCCAAGCGATGGTGGGTTCCATCCAGTTTGAACTTCCAGGGATCTTTGCTTACACTCTGAAGGGAAAACTGCCTACTCAAGCCCAAGTAATGGTGAACACCCCTCCCCCCACCAAGCTTGAACATCTTAGGTCCACTTCAGACTGCTATGCTGGCATGGAGAATTTCAAGCCAGTGGATCTTAGCTTGCTGGGCTCCATAGGGGTGGAATCTGCTGAGTTAGACCGCTTGGCTCCCTGGCTTCAGCCCCCTTTCTAGGGGAGTGAACAGATCTGTCTTGCTGGCATTCCAGGCTCCACTGGGGGATGAAAAAAAAAACCTCCTGCAGCTAGCTCAGTGTCTGCCCAAATGGCCACCCAGGTTTGTGCTTGAAACCCAGGGCCCTGGTGGTGTAGAAACCTGAGGGAATCTCCTGGTCTGTTGGTAGTGAAGACCATGGGAAAAGTGTAGTACCTGGGCTGGAATGCACTGTTCCTCACAGCAAAGTCCCTCATGGCTTTCCTTGGCTAGGGGAGGAAGTTCCTTGATCCCTTGCACTTCCTGGGTGAGGTGACACCCCCACCCCGCTTTGGCTCACCCTCCATGGGCTACACATACCATCTAACCAGTTCCAATGAGATGAGCCAGGTACCTCCGTCGGAAATGCAGTAATCATCCACCTTCTGCATTTATCCTGTTAGGAGCTGCAGATCGGAGCTGTTCATATTTGACCAACTTGCCAGCCATCTCCTCCTATGGTATTTTTAATATTATTTGCATGAAACAAAGCTTTGACTACAATTCATTACATGAAATCATGTTTGGAATTTTCCACTTTTGGCATTAGGTTGATGCTCAAAAATTTTTGGATTTTGAAACCTTTTGAATTTTGAGTTTTTGAATTAAGGGTGCTCAAGCTGCTTTCTGTGTTTGCCATTCCTTAAAGTCTACCTTTATCCCTTTAACACATTTTCTATTAAATTTTCTGTGATCAGATAACTAGTAGAGTTGCCATATCAGCTCACCAGCTCGCTACAATCTCCACCTTCTGGGTTCAGGTGATTTTTGTGCCTCAGTCTCCAGAGTAGCTGGGACTACAGGCCCATGACATCATGCCTGGCTAATTTTATTTTTTATTTTTTGGTAGAGACAGGGTTTTACAATGTTGCCTAGCCTGCTGCCCCCCACCCTGAGTGCCTTGCAGAGGCTGAAGAAGCTGGAGTAGCAGGGAGAGCTGAGTGGTGCCAGCTTCCTACAAGCAGCCCTGTCTCTGCTACCCGTCAGAGGAAGGAGACATGGTAATACTGAGGGGCTGGGCAGAGGCTCCTCTGAGCTCCAAGCTCCAGAGACCCAGAGCCCAAGTTAGGCCCATAGGTAGGGCCACAACACTGAAGGCAAAAAGCCCCAGAACCTTGCTGTGGAGAGCAATCTCGAGCAGCCTAGCTAGAACAAGGAAGACAGTTCACAGGGTGCTGAACAGTTCCCACATGCTCTGCTCAGGCCATGGGATCCCAGCAGGCTGGGCACCCACCAGGGTTCCAGGTATTCCTGCTGCAGAGCTCTAGTACTGTCTGATGGTTCACTTTCAGCATGTGCAGCCTGGCCTCATGCTTGAAGCATAGCCCTCACCAGGGTTCTTCCCCCTTTCCCAGTATTACTGAATAGTCCCAGCCAGAGAGCCCAGGCCCTGAGAATGGGAGGAACCTGGTCATATTCCCTGCATTGTGCCCTGAGGCCTGGCACAGGGCAGATCAGCCCCTTAGTGCTCAGGAGGCAGCATGGGGGTGCCCATGCTGGGGGTGAGCAGGGCTCTGAGTGTGTGGGCACAGCCACTGCCAGACTCAGAGCCCCGCTGCTAGTCTTGATGGACAGAGGAATTGAGAGGTCCTTCTGGGACTCCTTGAACTTCTCAGCCAAGACGTTGATGGTGTTGGGCTGTAACACTGACAGCTGCCCATCAGCAGAACCGCTCAATGCCCCTGGCTTCCCTGTTCCCTTCCACTTATACCTAATGGCAGAGCTGGTGTTCTGCATGTCATCCTCCCCATCACCCTCATAGTCATCCTCGTCATCTGAGTACTGCTGGGCTGGGCGGACTGGAACTTGGCTACCGCCAGGTCTTCCTCCTCCTGCATTGGGGATTTGGCATAGTTGTGATTGTCTAGAAAGGCCAGCAGCCACTGGACAATGGGAGTGGGGTTGGGGGGAACCCCATTGAGGTTGCTGCCTGGGAGGGCTGTGGGTTGGGGCTTGTGTGCATGAACCAGCCGCCTCTCTGCATCATCTGTGTGGGTGCCCTCAGAGGCTGCAGGGGCCCTGTGTGCCTCCTTCACCTGCGGGGACTGGTTGCTGACTGGCTTGGATGCCTCAGGCAGCTGTGACTCTTGAGACTTGTGGGTCTGAATCAGCTCTGGCTGTGTTACTCTTATCAGCTGCTGCAGGGCCTCTAGTACTGTCTGACGGTTCACTTTCAGCACGTGCAGCCTGGCCTCATACTTGATCCTGTGGTCGGGCACCACTGCCATCAGGCTGAAGCGGATGTTGTGGTAAGGCTCCCCTGCATTGGCGAGGCCTATATGCTCCATAATAACCCTCCAGGCCTTGTCTGTCCATTCCTCATCCTCTCCCCAAGGCCCATGGTCAATGGGGTAGACCTTCAGCCCATCTGGCTCCAAGAGCCGGCCTGTGATAGGCACATAGCTGATGAAGTGGAACGCCTCCATAGTCCGCATTGCACTAAGGCCATTCTGCTTTTCAGGGAGGTGGTGCAGCTTGGGTCTGGCATGGCTATTATGTGCCTTGGCCAACTCTGGGGCATTGCCAATAGCATATCCCTTGCTCTCATGGCTGAAGCTTTTGGTGAAGTTCTTCATGTGACTCAGGGTAGGTCCCAGGTCCGTGTTGCTGCAGTTCAGGAGCACACTCAGCAAGGCATGAGTGGCACAAGAGTTGGGTATCAGCTGGTGGGCAAAGAACATGTTATTCACAATATTGTCATCAATCATGGATGTATCATCCATGAAGGTAGAGACCTTTCCCCGTGACTGGTGCTCTTCGATCCATTTGAACAGGAAGATAAATCCATATACAGGGCCCTGGCATTTGCTCTGAAGGTCATAGATCTCCTCCACTTGTACCCCTTTGACACCGAAATCTTCCACCAGCAGGGTGAAGAGGCCCTGGTCGCTCTCCAGCTCCAGTCAGCCCTTATTCATCTTCCTGCAGGGTGGCCCCTCAGCACCATGTTCAGGTCCTTCTGCCCCACCGCAGCCCCCACCGGGAGTCCCCACTGCCCCCGGGGCCCCTCAGCACCACACACAGACAACAGGCCCAGCCAGCATTTCTTATAGTGTAGGTATGTTTTTCAGATTCTCTTAGTCTCATGCTATCCATACCCATCTTCTTGCCACTTTCATTCTACAGGGGTATTTTCACTGGATGTAGAGCTGTGGGTTGATACGGTCTTCTAGCCTCCATTATTTCTTTTCTTTTCTTTCCTTTTTTTCTTTTTTTTGAGACAATGTCTTGTTCTGTTGCCCAGGCTGGAGTGCAGTGGCGCCATCTCATCTGGCTGCAACAGCTGCCTCCCAAGTTCAAATGATTCTTGTACCTCAGCCTCCCGAGTAGCTGGGATTACAAGCACATGACACCATGCCCGGTGAATTTTTGTGTTTTCAGTAGAGATGGGGTTTCACCGTGTTGGCCAGACTGGTCTTGAACTCCTGGTCTCAAGCAATCTGCCTGTCTTGGCCTCCGCAGGTGCTGGGATTATAGGTGTGAGACACTGTGCCCGGCCTCTCCATGATTTCTGATGCATTTGCTGGCATTTGAGTTCTTTTTTTTTTTTCAAACTCTTTATGTGATATGTTGTGTTTTTCTTGCTGCTGTCAAGACTTATTTTTAATGTCTCCTCTCTCTCTCCTTTTTTTTTTTTTAAGCAGTGATGTGCCTAAGTATACTTTTAGTTTTCTTTGTATATATGTGGTTTGGTGTCTGCTGAGCATCTGGAATCTTTAAATTTATGTTTTTCATCAAATTTGTGGGGAATAATAGCCAACCTTCAAAGCAAGTCTGAATCCCAGGTCTCTCTCCATAAAGCAAAAGAATAGGGAACTGCTAGTTGGAAGTGATGTCAATCACTGTTTCTTAAATATTTTTCTCTCCCTTCCCTTTATCTTCACTTTCTGGAGGTATGTTAGACTGTTTGAAATTGTTCCATTGTTTCCTAGGCTGTTTTGACTCTTTTTTTTTTTTCCAAACTTTCTTCCCTCTGTTCTTCAAATTGGATAATTATTTCTTTTGGTTTTCAAAGTCACTGACCTTTGTCATATTCATTCTGATATTAAGCCCATCCAGTGGATTTATAATTTTCAGATATTGTCTTCTTCAGTTCTAATGTTTCTGTTTAGTTCTTTTTTATGTTTTCTACTCTTCTGCTAAGATTTCTTTCATTGTGAGCATATTTTCCCTTATTTCATTGAGCATGGTTATAGTAGCTGGGCTGTGGCCCAAATCTCAGCCCAGTTTCCAGCACCCCCCAGTTCTTAAAGCTGTGATGTTTGCAGCCTGCCCTCATATTTGTGACTCAGAAGCTGGCCAGTGACTGGGCAGAGTTGCATGTGACACTGGGCACCATCTTTGGCTTTCTTCTCTCTGGAATGTTCCCTTACTTTTCTGTGGCCATGGATGCCCTGCCTCGTCTTTCCTCTGGCCAGCGAGATGACAAGTTTCCTTTCAGAAGCCACTCCATGTCATGTCATGACCACAGCGGCCCTGTGGACCAAAGCCACAAAGAGGGGGGACTCACCTGCTACCAATCCCTTCTTCCAAATTTCAGCTCCCTTGCAAATTCTGTGCGCTCCTCAGGGGCATCAGGTAATATTTTAGTATTATTTTATTTTTCTACAAATGGCTTTCACTCTGTTGCCCAGCCTGGTTTCAAATTCCCAAGCTCAAGCAATTCTCCTACCTCAGCCTCCTGAGTAGCTGAAACTACAGGTATAAGCCACTGTGTCCAGCTTTAGTTATTTGAAGAAGGTCAACGGACTGGGAAATTATGCTACCTTTCTATAAATGAGGCTTCCTTCTCCACTAATTTTCATTATCTGAGTTGTAGGTATGATTTTTAGACCATAAACAGAGGTATCTAAGAGAACTAAAGTATCTCTTTATTCTCTATATTCAACTTTTTATTTCTATTTGGAGTCCACAATCTCAGACATGTCCCCTAGTTCCAGGGTCCGATGAGACAGGGTCATCAGTCCAAACAGGTCAGTTGTGGAGCCATCCTTTGTCCTTGTGTTTGTGGTCCTAACAAATGACTTGACTCTCTGCTACTCCTAACTACACAGATGAGGCTTGGCTCCAGGAAGCTTAGACAAACAGACTGCTGTTTCCCCTTTAGGGCATCCTCCTCCCTGGTGGCACTGTTGCGAAGGAGGCACAGGCCCCCTCTTCTCCCAGGACCCCCAGATCTTGTCTTCCTCTTGTTCTCTTCTCCTTTCCTCTGAGTACTGGGGGAACCTTGGTCTAGTCTGGGAAAAATTCTTTCTTTAAGTTTCTTTAAGACACAATCTTTTTTTTTTTTATGTTCAAGGTTTTGCTAAGAATTTAGGCTTCTGGAACATTAGAGCCAGAAGCCATATGAGCTACTTTTGTTTCTCCCTGTCAAATGTTACCCTTGGGGCTGTGGGCTCAGAGCTGGCGAAAAGCCTTGCTTAAAGGAGAAAGGAGAAGGTCAGGGAAAGAGGACAGATAGCAGGAAGAAACCCCACAGCTTTTTGTCTCCAAATATTATTCAGACAGGGAAAATGTCTCCTTCTCTCATATCCCAGTATGTATCTCGATGCTGGGACACAGTGATTGCTCAATAAATATTTATTAAATGAATGAACAAATTTGCTGTGTAATATTGGGCAAGTCTCATGACCTCTCACTTTGTTCTCTGAGCTCTAAAATGGGGATAGTGATACTGATGTCATAGCGTTGCTGTAGGATCGGATGTGATTACACACACTTTGTAAAGAGTTTTCTAATTATAATGTTTTGTTACTGTTATTATGAATGTTCACTGAGCTGAGAGAGCGCTTGGCATCTTTGTCCAAACCGTGGGTGATTCCAGGCAGACCTAGTCAACCGGAAACCGACGTTTACCTTTTCCCCAGAGAAGCTGCACAACTTCAATGAAGTTTTTGTTCTCCAAAATTATTTATCCTCCTAATGACAGTTTTTATGTCAGTTTGCTTGATGATTCCTGCATGATGAGGATTGATTTTGGATTAGATTCTTCCCAGCATGGAGTAACTGGTACAGTTGAGAAAATGATAGTAATATTGTATCTCATCTTAAAGGCACGCTTTGGCTCTTTGCATATTTTAGTTAGAATTTAAACTGAGTTCTAATCACATGAAGTGTTAAGGTATACTTAAAATGTGCCTTTTGAGAATTCATAGAAAGTGCTTTCCAAACTGCCTGATGAAGCAAAAATTGAATGAGCTGTGTCTCTTGCTGAAGTCTCTGTAAATGGGCTCAGCATTTAATAAGGAGTTATAATTTTTGATGTTCTTTGTATGTGAAAAGGACGTTGCTCAATTCTAAAGAACCCAGAAATTGGAAAGGCTGGTACTTAATGACCTGGTGTCTTCAAGGAGCTCATAACACTTGGCAGATTGCACATTTGCCTCTTGAAATCCTAGGGAATTACCCGGTGCTTGCTGGATAGTAACAAGACAGTTACCCCCATCCCAGACTAAAGCTTGGGGTTCAACCACAGCAGCAAGTGTAAGGCCAACATTTGAGGGATGGGCTTATGGTCACGTGAATGCTATGTAAGCTCTATAGAAGGAGAGAAACAGTGGATGAGGGCTATTGGCTACACCTCAAAGTAAGTCCCAGGTTTCTCTTCAGGTGGGGCAAAAAATTGATGGGAATGACAGCAGGAGGTGATCCCATCCTGGAAAGTCCATCTTCAGGCCTTCACACCTTCAGTGGTGTGATATTGGCTCACTGCAACCTCTGCCTCCCGGGTTCAAGTGATTTTTCTGCCTCAGCCTCCCTAGTAGCTGAGACTATAGGCACATGCCACGACACCCAGCTAATTTTTGTATTTTTAGTAGTGACGGGGTTTCGCCGTGTTTGTCAGGCTGGTCTCGAACTCCCAACCTCAGGTGATCAGCCCGCCTCAGCCTCCCAAAGTGCTGGGATTACAGGAGTGAGCCACTGCACCTGACCCAAGCATTTTTTCTTATATCATGGACACACACACACATGCACGCACACACGGTGTTTTAGGAGGCTTTTCCTATATACTGTAGGATGGGTTATAGCCACAGTTCTAGGGTTGATCCTGGATACACTATTAAGTAGCTGTGTTTTCTCAGGAAAAATGCTGAACCTCTCTGTGCTTCAGTTACCTTGTAAGTGAAAATGAACTAATAATAGTACCTACTTCCTAAAGTTGATGTGAGGAGAACATGAGTTATTTTGCATTAAGTTCATAGAACAATGCCTGGTATGTGCTCAGCAACTGTTATCTATTTACTGTCATTCTGTGGGGCTGGGGATATCAGGAGCCAGGTCCATGCAGGGCCAACAGTGGGTGATCATGGGTGATCCTGAGCAGCCAGGAGTTTGGTTGGTAATATGAGAAGCAGAATAGAGGGAGTGAATAGAAGAGCTGAATCTCTTTAGAAGGAGATTCTGTGACCTAATAAGAGGGAATCAAAGGCTGCCATCCAGTAAGAAGTGATGGCTGGGGTCCTGGGCAGAAAGCCTGGCAGCAAGGGATTGGACAGTGAAATTCACAGGACTGACTATGGAGTGGCAAGTCCCATCATGGGATGCACTATTTTAAAATGGCTGTTTGAGATACTAAGGTCAGAAGGGGATATGCAGCAACGTGGACTTTGTGTTGAGGCCTGGAGGGACTCTTACATTTCTCCTGCCTGTGGACAGCCCTGGGTTTGGGACTGTGGCCCGGCTGAACTTAAATTGGATATTAAAATTTGAGTTGTTGCGGTAATAACAAAAACAACAGTACTGCTATTACTGTTGTACCACTACTAGCAGTGATAGCATTATTGATGGTGTACTGTGATCCAGCATTAAATGCTTCATTCACAACCCCATGAGGGAACCTTACTATTCCTGTTTATCAGATGAGAACATTAAGCACAGAGATAAGTGGCTTGTAATGGTCACAGTCTAAGAAGTAGAGGAGCCAGGTTTGAACCCATGTAGTCAGATGTCTGGTTTTAACCATTTATTATACTGTCTCCTAAAACTTGTAAGAGAGTGTTGACAACTCCTTGTGTCTGTCAGAGAGAGGTCAG